ACACACAGACACACACACACACACACACACACACACACACACGGACATCCACAGTTTGGGGTCATATCAGTTCAACCGGTTTAATATGACATTAGTATTCTTTTTGATAACCAGGAAAAAAATGACTTACAGTTGCTTTTTTTTGTTTTTGGAAATGGTTGCTGTCATGTCTCTGAGAGTCGTTCCGAGACATGCTCTCACGCCCCTGCATTCACACAAGTTTGTTCTTTCATTTGGTCTAATATTTTAATGTGCAGAATTTTATATGTTACGTAATTAATCTACTGATACATATTTTTTCATTGCTCATGAGCTTTGAAATTCCTTCATGCAGCAAAAGATAAGTTTCTCTAATTTCTTAGGTAGCCTTTTAAAAATGATTTGATTTATAGTATATAGCTATATAATTTAAATGAAGTTTCTTTTGCAATATGACATGACGTGAGAGCTCCCTGAATTGTCCTGAGGCGCTGTCTCCTCCCCAAGACTCCAGTTAGGTACTGATTCTCCCGTGTTCACCTGCCTCTCTCCCTCCTTTATAACCTGTGAAGTGGTTCTATGGTAGAGATCTCTCTTCACCTCTATTCTTCCTTTCTGTTCTTTTCTTGTATTGATACCTCATTTAAAAACGCATAAAGACAAGTTATAAAACAGACAGCCAACCAACAAAAATGGTCAATAATTCCTACACGTAATATAATCGACACAATAAGAAATTGTACATAGTACGGAAAGGTTCTCAGTGAGCTGTGAAAGCTTCCACACTCCTCCCCAGCCCCTGTCTTTTTTTAATTTCACTTAACAACGAGAGATAATTTCTTGTAATTCTTTGCCAATATCTTTATACATATGGTATCTCTGTGTGTGAGTGTGTGTGTGTATACATACATATGTATACCTGCATATTTTATTTATACAAAAGAGCGTCTATTATTTATAATACTCTGCCATGGAACTTTCTAATGTTTTACCATCTGATAGAGAAAATTCTGCATCCCCACCTTATCCAAGTTTATTATTTTTACCCAAATGAAGTTTAGAATTATACATCAGCTTTCCTCTTCCTTCCAGAATTTCAATGACATCATTTTGATACCTTAAATTTATAAATTAAGAAGAATCTTTTCAACATTCTACATTTTTCTTATGAAAGGAGATAGCATTTCAAGTCAAGTGTTCTCGAATACCTCAACTAGGTGTATCCTTTCCTTTAAATAAATTCCTCCTGTTTCTTGTCATGCCGTGTCTTTGTATTCCACGTGTTATGAATTGGATAGTCCTGTGATTCTCTTTCTTGCTCTGTTGTCTGCTGCAATTTTAACATTCATCCATACATCTGTTCATATTTAAATATTGTTGTTCAATCCTTAGAGTTTTGTAAGAATACAGTCATATGTAAAATAATGACTCTTTTCTCTGCTCCCTTCAAAGCTCCCACCCCGTGCTTTTGTTTTGCTTCTTGCTGCAAGGTTCGGGAAGTTCAGAACAATATTCTGGGTTGTTTAGAGTAGGCAGGCGTTTTAGTTTTGATCGAACTTGGTTGGGGAGGCCTCCAGTGCCACCTTTGGGAATGACATTGGCCCTTGATTCACATGGGGATTCTCATTATTACGGATGCAGCTTATACTTCTGAGGTGTTTTTTAAATCACAGAATTGGTGTTTAAATTTACCAAGTGCTTTTTCAGTGTCCCTGGAGAATATGTAAGGCTTTTATTTCCTTTATTTCCTTTAGACTATTGTTTTGAACCATTATTATTGATCAAGACACCTTCACATTCAAGAAATAAACCCTTACTTAGATTTCCCAAAATGCCCTTGTATGTATTCTTCATTTGAGTCACATAAATGCCTGGGAGGGAGTGACTGTTCCCTGATGGGGTGGTGGGAATGAACTAGAAGGGGCAGAAGGCAGCTGCTTGGGGTTCTGAGAAGGCTCCATGTCTCGATTGGGTGATGGTTACTCAGGTGTATACAGTTGTCAGAGCTGGTACAGCCACTTAAGGAGTGAGCTTTACCACAAGGAACATGGGCCTCCATGAGCACACAAGCACACAGCCTGTCAGGGGCAAAGGGTGGGAGGTTCTTCTCTGTCTCCATAGAGATCCAGGAGGGGACGTGGCTGCCCCGGGTCACACAGCTAGCTGGTTGTCAGGCTCACTTCTGGAATCCAGATCTCCTAACTCACACCAAGGATATTCTCCACTGTATTTATAGGGACCGGCAAGAGCTAGAAAGGTCTCAGATGAGAAGCAAGCAGCTCGTTCCAGCAATGCTGTAGGACACCATTGAAGGTGAGTATTTTGTTGGAGGAGGTGGAGCAGGAGCAGAGGAAAGAGGGATGTGTCCTAACTGCCATCTCCATAGCTCTCAGGGCAGTAAAGAGCCATAGATGCTAGAAGCAGGGGGCTATGCTGTTTGTCACTGGACAATTGGAACCCTAAATCCTTCTCCTCTACCTCTGCCTCCCCCACGTACCCCATCCCATCCAATCACAACGGTGTTCTACACTTGTTGTCTGTCCGTCCACATCCTTTCTCCTCCCTTGTTGCTCAAAGCCTAGTTCACCCACAACGAGGGCACCTAAGGGGCTGTGCTGTTCAGCCGGGCACCCACTGGCCCTAGGAGGCTACCAAGCACTTGACCTGTGGCTAGGCCAAATTTGAAGAGCTGTACTGTAAACTAGATACCATTTTTGAAAGAATTTTAGAAAAAAATAATATAAAATGTCTCAATAATTTTTTGTATGTTGATTAGATGCCCAACTCGAGACTGGTAGGAGGCGCAGAGACATGGAACGGCTGGTCCCACACCTCTTGTGTGGTGGTTAAGAATCAAGAGGGATATCTCAGTTGCGGAGGTCCCCGGAGGAACGAGGCCCCACAGCGGTCTCCCCAGCCCAGGATTCCAATGCCAGAAAGAGAAATTCCCACAACTTCTAGCTGTAAAAACCAGAGGAGACTGCGGCTGAGTGAGACAGATGACGGCTGGAGTCATAGACATTACTATTAATGTTTATATTAATTTAATTATAGGTGGATGTTTACAAGTGACCAGCCCTGTGTCTAGGTGTCCCTGAACTGGATGCTTGTGCATGGGCTTCCTTCTCCTCTAGGGAAATGAATGGGGAGGGTGGGATATGGGTCAGATCTGAGTGCCAAATATGTTCTATGTCATGTGCCATTTCAGGTCATGTTAGTGAACCTTCAGCCCCATCTGGGCTCAGGGGAGTGGGAAAGCTGCCCTGGTCTCAGGGAGGAAGAGTGGACGGTGCTCATGGATTGTGTTAAATGTTTACTAACTTAGCACTAGTTGGGCCCTCTCACTTCTGGTGGTTTGTGAATCTGAGCCCCAGAACTGCCTTATTCAGTTTGGATTGGCTATTTAAGCATCTCTAGGCACTTGCCTTCTGCATAAACAACTCAATGCATAATACCGATCCTTAAATACTGTGAGTATGTATTTATATGGCTAACACATTAGGGTTTTGTCCTTGTATCATTTTGTCTTATTTTTAAAAATCCTCAGTAACTCTCTCAGCTCTTAGTTTACAAAACACTTCATAGTATTCCAGGCACTTCAGTAAAATTTTATAGAGGAAGCACTTCTCAGGGTTTTTGCTTTTTTCCATCTCAAGACTGCGTGTTGTCTTGTGTGACAATCCAGCTGATGTGACAGGGCCAAAACTTGAACTGCCAAAACACATTTGGGATATCACGTCCATGGGGTTATCAGGAAGGGATGATCCCATAGCCTTGGTGCTCTCCCACTCTCCCACTTTCCTTTGAGGCCCCACCCTGATGTCTCCTCCCTTTCCTAAAAGACACAGGTGTTTCCTGCCTTTTCTGTTCCTTCTGTGCAGGATACTTTGCCCTAGGGTCTTCAGATGGAGCCATGCCTTTTATCCATCAGGTTTTCCTTTCTCAGAGAAGTTGAGTGCCCATCCAAAGTATTAGCCTTATCGGTGTTTGTCCATTTTATTTATTTGTTCACAAGTCTATTGTGTGTCTTCCACCAGAGAGAAGTTTCATGAAACCATGAAATTGTCTTCTTCATTGCTTTATACACAATGCAAATATGCTTTTTTAGTTTTATTTAATGGTTGCGCATCTTTTCATGCCTCTCTCTGGAGGCAGGTCCCTCCTTTGAAGAATTTGTTGGAAACATCAAACAATACGAGGAAGGCTGTTAGGTACAAAATACTCATATTTATAAATGCATAACCAAAATAAATGTGAAACCTTATATAAAAAGAGGTGTGTTGGTTTTTTTTCTCCCTATTCTCCCCTTCTCCTCTGGAGTAGCTCTGAGTGACTTGAGGAGTACAGGGCTGTGTATCTTGCTGTGGGGCTCACTCCTTCCCTTCCCGCTGATGCCTTCAGGCTTGCTGGTCATGGGTGGGTTTCCTGCTCTGACTCTGGATTTCCAAGGGCTAGGTTCATAGGGGACTATATTTCAGCCCCTTCTCCCTCTCCCTCCTTTCCTCTGAGAGAGGGACCCCAGCCCTGGCTTGGCTCCCCCACCACCTCCCCAGCTATGTCTGGGTTGCACTTGGGCCTGCTAGGCTTCTACATAGTGCAGACCAGCTCCGATAGCAGTTGGGAAGGGGCAGTGGGTCCCTGAGGGGTGAGCTAGACCTGGTTGCTGGGATCAATCTGTGGCCCTGCTCCTGTGGGCTTCCTACACCTCCTGGGCCACCTACACTTTCTCTCCCTATTGGCCTTTTTGCATCCTTGTCAGTGGGTCAGGTGGCTCAGCCCTGCCAGCTCACAGACACCCATTTCCCCTCCCCTTGGACTTTAGACCCTGGCTCCTCCTCTCACCTGGAGTTCCTGGGAGGCCCCACGGCCCCTCCTTTTGCCCTTCCCCAGAGCAAAGGTGCTGGTATAGAGCTGCTCCCCCTTGGACATTTCCCTCTTGTCCCTGCCCATTGGTTCTGAGAATCACTTTGAAGCTATGGGGTCTGCAAGCTTCTGTCTTAATCTTTCGCAATCCTCCTTTGCCATCTCATCTCATCTCAGGCCTGACCTTGCTTTGTTCCTGCTCACTTGTCCACTTTTCTCTTTCCTTTTCCCCAAACTAGCACTAGATGAGGCTCCTTGAAGAGGACTCCAGTTTTCCAACTCATGTCCTTTGTCCTAAGGATCATTGATCCTTACTCCATCCCTCCAACACATGTATAAACCTTCTGCAGGGTCCCCCTATGAAGATGAGGAGGATAATATGCATTTTCAAGATGGCCAAAATCACGGGCCTAATGTCATGTCGAAGCCCGGAGACCACCCTCCCAAGAAACCTGACATCAGCCAATTGATAACTATATAATTGAAATGGAATTTGTTTTGTGACACAATATGACATGAGGAGTCT